TTTATTGTTGACAGTATTACAGATGCCCCTCATCCTCCCCCTCATCCTCCCCCTTTGCCCCCAGGGTGCATTAATTTCTTATATGAGATTTTTTAAATTGAATAATACATTTAATAACATTCCATCTGCTATGGACTGAATTGTGTCTTGCATCCCAATTCATATGTTGAAGTTCCAATCTACAATGTGGCTATTTAGAGATAAGACCTTTGAATAAGTTAATTAAGGCTAAATGAAGTCATAAGTTGGGACCCTAATCCAATAGGATTAATGTCCTTATAAGAAAAAAAAGCAAGAGAGAGTTTGTTCCCTCTCTCACACACTGTGTGTGGGGGTGGGGTGGGGGTGGAGTGCGCACCAGGAAAGCCATGTAAGGACATAGTCTGCAAGCCAGGAAGAGAGCACTCACCAAAAGCAATCAGTTGGGAGCCTGATCTTGGACATTTTCCAGAGCTGTGAGAAAATAAATTTCTGTCATTAAAGCCACCAGTCGACAGCATTTTGTTATGGCAGCCCAAGGAGACTAAGGCAGTCAAATTCATAGTGTTTGCTGCCAACACTTTGCAGATGATAATACCAAGATGTGATAACAATCTATAAAAACAACTTTTTTTTCAGATTTTCTAGCTTTTAATTGTGCCCTTTGATATCAGCTTCTAATTGTAAAAGACGGAATTCTTGCTTTTCATGGAAATATAAAGATCATTAAATATTTCACTCTTCTATCTCCCTCTTTACCTATGTAACTGCAACTCATCCTTTAAGTCTCATCTTCAATGTCACTTCTCTCTCCTTGGAGAGAATCTCCCTTGACGTGAGACCTTGCCCCTTTTCTGTGCTCCTGTAACCTGTCTTTCTTTCCTTTCAGTCTTTGCAACTCTCTGTGGCTACTGTGTATTCAGTGGCCAGACTTCCCACCTCTGTAATAGTCTTGACGATAGGGGCTTTGCCTGTACATTTTAGCAAAGTATTTTCAGTAAGCAAAATGCCTAATTCATGCAAGATTCTTAGTAAATAAACATTGAGTGAATAAAGCCAGTCTGAGTTATTATTGAAAACGCTGCCATTCTCTCCATAAAATTTTCCACAATTGACATTGCCTGACTTAAATTATATTATGCTACATTTCTTCAACCTTTGTAAATATGATTAGCATTGTAATTTACAGAATGTGTGCTTCATTACATAAGGTTTTGAAAATATTCTTTTTATTATGCTTTTCTTTTCCCCCTAGTTATATCGTAATCCTAGAATACTTTCAAAGTATTATAGTTTCATTATCAGGTAAACACAATTACTTAATCTCATAACAAATCAAATTGCTTTACTCCCTCAATTGTAATTCTTTTAATTGAATGTAAATGTGTTTTTATAAAATGTTTCTGAACAATTTTTAAATGAATACTGTTGTATTTCTGTTTCTTACTATTGATTTGCTTATTAAATTACTTTAACTGATATGATACAAAAGTAGCACTCATGCAGCTCCTGTCAAGTTATAATTGGCAGCATTAGAAATAATGATTTCCTGTTGTTAATATCAGAATTTATTAAGTAGGAGAAGTATTATTATTCATGTTTGGATGGTGATATTTTGCAGAGACTAGAACAATGATTTCATGGGAAAGGAAGAACAGCCTTGTGAAAGAGTTGGTCCATATACTGTAAATGTTGAGGAGGGGATAGGAAATAAAGAGTTGTAATTTTGTGAAGAATACTTCGGAGATGCAGCTTTCTGGTAACTGTTCACCCCGTTCATCCATATTGTGCAATTTCATTTCCAGACCTCAGAAAGGAAAAGAACTAATAATTGGGAAACAGATGGACCAGCAGAAGCTGTGAGAGGCTATGAATGGGCCTCCTAGAGAGTTCAGCACTGCTTGTGGCTGGTCAGCACCCAGCACAGCAGGACTCACTCCACTCCCAGGGCCAGCAGGTGGCTGCAGGTCATCTCTGGTCAAGCACAGTTTATTCCACTGTCACCATCACCAGTAAAAGAAAAATCCTACCCCAGGTATCAGGCAAGCTGCTGGCTCTCTCTTTACAAGTGTGCTTCACAGGGAGTTCACAAACCAATATCCTTGTTAAAAAATCCCAGTAAAACTATACAGAGAGAATCCTTCAAAAATTTCTGTACATACATCTGACAAATGGTAGGTAGACAAAATAATTTAAATTTTTAAAACCCAGGAGTTGTTTTATGGACATTTCTCAGCAATTTTTTTATCTTTATTTCAAAAGATATGCACCATATAAGTATATGTGTTGACAAAAAATACATATATATTTTAAAAAGATATTTACCAACTAATCCTAGTTGAATATTTTCTCTATTACATCTGGTTCTACTTGATTGTATGTCCTCTCGATTTAACACCAACTCTAATTTTGGAAAAGGGGTCATCTACAGTGAGGAGGAAGGATTTTGACCAATTGCAAAGGGGACTTGGGGTCCCACCCCACTAAACCATATGACTTTTATTATAATTATCTATATTCGTAAATGAAGGTTTACTCCTGTGATGTGCTTCTCTCTGTGGATGGGCAAAAAAACCAGAAAGTCACATCCTGCTTCTAGTGCTAACATGTGATACATGCTTTTATAAACTGAGAATAGATTTTTTAAAAAGAAGTGCATATAAACATTTTAAAAGTCTCATTTTGTACACTTTAAAAATTGTGGATTTCTTGTTCAGACTATGAACACACACATCTCATATAATATTAAACCTTGGGGAGAAACACATTTCAAGCCCAAACTTTGTGTCAAAAAGTAATTCTTTCTTCAAGTTATGTCACCTTGATTTTAAATATATACTCATAGGCAGAATTCTTGAAAGCCTAACTGGTTTTATTTTTACCCTTCTTTTCAGCATGACATGAACTGTAGCTGAGGTCTTCAAATTGCTGTAGATGTAGTTATGATATAAATGTGAATAAATCTGAATAATTAAAGTACTTCGAAGTTTTCTAAGCACACTGAGTGTAGAAAGATAAATGAGTTCGTCTTTATTTCTTTTGATCAGTTTGACGGGCCATGATATTCAGTGATGGTGAGTAGAGAGAACTTGCCAGAAAAATACTCAAGTCATTTACCACAAGGGAACAGAGAGAGTGGCCTTGTTAAAATAGGTTCACAACACCTAGAGGACTTCCTGCAGCCTTTAGGCTAACATTCCTAGGTTAGGATTTATGCCTGCACCCGCATCTCCTGCACTGTTCTCTCTAGGTTCCGGCCTTACTGACTCTAAATCCCTCGACTGAGCCATGCTCATTCCTCTGTATTAGATAATCTACCAGGAACCTTCTATGCCAACCTTCCTCCCCCCCTTCACTGGACTAATCCTTTGAATCTCAGGTCAGACATCACTTTCTTAGGAAATCCATTTCTAATTACTCTGCTCCCACCCACACTCACATACATACATACATACATACATACACACCAGACTAAGTTAAGTCCCCAAGCCCCTTCTCCCTATAGTACTGGTCACTTCTCCTTTCCCTACATAGCATTTGTAATTCTTGTTTAGTGTGTGTTTTCTGCACAAGTCTGTAACAGTAGGAGCAAAAGACAGCATGTCTCATTCTCAATTGAATTCTGAGCCTAGCAGAGCACCTGGCACATAGTGGGTATTATGTGTTTTCTGAAGAAAGAAAAGACAGAAGGAAGGAAGGAAGGAAGGAAGAAAGGAAGGGAGGGAGGGAGGGAGGGAGGGAGGGAGGAAGGAATGGTGGATACATTTCCCCTTTCTTAGAGCATTTATTTTCAAAAACATGTCATTGTAAATTCTTTCTCTGTCCCTTTGAGATATAAAATTTCTCTCAGCTTTTTGCAAGTTTTATAACAGAGAAATTTCCTTTTCAGTGACCTGGGAGCCATCCCTATAAAACGTAATCACCAAAAATGATAGCAAACGTCTATTCCCTAGTTTCTGTGGGAAGGTGGGAACCTAACTTAGATAAGTGGCAATTACCAAATACAGATGGCTAATCACATTGACCAAGCTCCCCTCATAATCCCCCAGCACATTCTCACTAGCTCATCCCAGCACTTAAAAGCCCTCCCACATTTTGTTCTAGCAGATTGAGTTCAGAGTTTTGGCCTATTGGAATTGTCTTGAATAAAGTCTTCTTTGCCTATTTCACTCTGTTCAGTGCAATTTTTCTTTGACACCCTCTTGGAAAGGGATCACGACCACTCACATGAGGGTTGGCCTGGCTTCTATATACTCTTGAATTAAATTGGAGTTACATTATTCATGGCAGATGTGAACATTCTAGAAGGTGAACAAATAAAAATTCAAACCCACTGAATAAAATATCAGTGAATTCCCATTTAATGAACAGGAGGAATAATTTATTTTGAGGAGAGAGATTGTTTTCTTTTATTGCTATTATTTTGAAATAGCACCAGGAGGGGGAAAGCATTGATCATTTCTAAGCAATGCAAATTTAAACAATGTCTAGGAGCAAAATCTGTGGTTGTCATGTTTCTGAGCTAAATCAATATTCTACCTCATGTAATGCAGCTAGTATAATGGTCTGGATGGCAACCTTGAAACCTTGCTGAGTCTTGTTTCCTGGCGGTCTGGCTAGGAACTGGTGGGCTTTGGGAGCTAGTGGTAAAGAGCACTGGGCTTAGAGCCAGGCTGCCTGGATAGAAGCCCGGTTTCACCTCGGTCCCAGAACATCTCCTGACTCAGTAAAAGTGAGTAGCATAGCGTCTGATGACTAGTACATGCTCAATAAATATTAGTTCTTATCATTGTTACTATCAGCATCTTCATCATCACTTTCACTGTTTTGAAAATTAAGCAAGATTATTATGACTTCACAACTCTGTGCTCTCTGCCAAACAAATGTCATTGATGGGTAGCGATGCTGGCTTAAACTAGACTCTAGCCTTGCTGAATTGTTTCATTCATGCACAACTCTGAGCTCTATTTGTGAGATGTTTATCTTTCTCTTTCCCCACCCCAACCCCTGATTTCTTTTAGTGATGGATGGGCAGATAGAGATGAAGTCATTGAAGGTTATGAGGTGGAAGCCAACGGGGGAATCACGATCAAGCTGCAGTCTCCAGAGGTCAGGTCGTTTGATGATTATTTCCTGAAACTAAGGCTGGACACTAATACGAGGAATCCTTGGTTCCCTGAGTTCTGGCAACACCGGTTCCAGTGCCGCCTACCAGGACACCTTCTGGAAAATCCCAACTTTAAGAGAATCTGCACAGGTAACTCATGTTCACAAAATCACAACTTAGAGGTGTGGTCGTCTCTTATGACCCCATCACAGCTTGCTGAATGAGAGTTATAATGTGCTAAGGCTGGCGATGCAAAGACTAAATTGCCATATTAATTTATAAAATAGCTGGAGTGAGGAGAGCGTGTGTGTGTTGCCCCAGAGATCATGTTTCTATATTCTGGAAAGAACTGCTTTGGTCTCTGGTGGGACAAATGATAAGAAGATGTAACATCAGTAAAGGAAAAGCAAACTGAGAATTCAGGTATTCCAGAGGGAAGAAATTTTATAGCAGGCATGCTTAGGAGATGCTAGCCACAGATTTT